TTGATGAGAATGAATTACATTTTCAACAAGACGGAGCTCCTCCTCACTATGTTCTCCCAGTACGACAGTGGTTAGATAATACGTTTCCAAACAGATGGATAGGACGAAGAGGTCCTATAGAATGGCCAGCCAGATCACCAGATTTGACGCCATTAGACTTTTTTTTATGGGGTCATTTAAAGTCTGTTGTATTTACCCCTCAACCTCAAAATTTAGAAGAACTTCGTCAGAGAATTACTGCAGCTTGCCGTGGAATTCAAAGGGAAGTTTTTGAAAATGTGCGCCGTAGTTTTGAACAACGGTTGTACCATTGTTTAGCTAATAACGGACAACACTTTGAACAATTATTAAGTTGATTTTCTCTGCAAAAAGTTTTTGTACATAATTAAATAACTGAAAATAAAATAGAACGTTTCAAGCAGTTAAAAGTTGTTTAAGTAATAACCAAATAAACCTAAAAGAAAAGAAAAATGAAACAGAAATCGTTTTTTCTAAATATCTCTGACAGACGCCAGGCAAGCTAGCCAACGTAGGTATATCATTGTCAAAATAACCTAAATATCAAAGATTTCGGATTGCTCCGAAATAATAAAGGTTTAATGGTCGTTGTAAAAACGAACATGGTAATTTAATTTTATAAATTAATAATAAAAGATTACTTATTCTTGCTTTTAAGAAGGTGATTAAAGTTTTTAATATTAATTAAAGCGGGAAATACAAAACAAAGATTTTCGCAAAAATTTCGAAAACGAATCGATCAATTTAAAAAAAATAAATACTAACATGTAGTACCTTAAAAGACCTTTAAAATGAGGTATCACTTGACACCCCTTTCCATTTAAGATTTTTAAGGGGTTGGTTTCTGGCGGCGGGGGGTTGAAGTGAGTGAGTCAATTTTTGCATAAAAAGTTGTCCCCCTTGGTTTTATTCTTTACCTATTTCAGCGATTTTCTTTTTAAACTTCCGGATTTACAGAAATTGAGGTGGAAAGTTTTGAAATGAACACCTGTATAGGGCGACGCAGAATTTGACCCTAATGAAATTTTAGGATGATTTAGAAGGTGCCTTTAGTAATTTAATAGATTATCAAAACTGCGAAACTCTTAATATTTCGTGGAAAAAATAAATATTGTTAAGAAAGACTTTTTATTGTTTTATGGACTTTTTAGCCGTTGCAGGCAAAAAGGTAACAAAAGGAACTCCGTCACGTGCAGTTACAAAGGAGCGCAGGTACAGACGGTTTGTTGTTGCGTTTGTTATTTTTTATGGCAGTTATTTAGGAAAAAATTTTAAGATTTTGCCGCAAGGGTGAGGAGTAAACTTATAAATGTGGTTAAAATATTCTTTTGGGTACATTATCCGCTAGCTTTCGAATGGTATTTGATGTCCTGCTGAGATCACTAGTTGATATATTTTCCTTTTTCGATATTTGATCGGTTCTTTTTAGAATCAAACTGCTTCGTATAAGTGTTGGTGTCTAATATATAAGTTATATATTAATATTGTGCCAACACAACGAGATCATCATCTAGGGCAGTCGAAGTTCCAGGATTTGGCAAAGGTTAGTTTAAGTTAATACACAAATTAGTACACAACTTTTAATACATGTTAATTAGATAACAATTTAGGGTAATTATTAAAAATTTGAAAAGTCTACCATGGATTTTCTTACTGATAAGTTGGTCGATTTCTTTCGACAAGCTGCTGTTCCTTCATATAAGGTGCATAGGTTAAAACTGCTCGGGTGATGAAATTATGAGGGCTGCAGAGTTTATTTATGGTAACAGTTCAATAGAAGTTAGGAATAGGATAGTTAATAAACTCACTCGTACAACAAAAGTAGTTACAAAGTTAAAACAATATGAGACTGCTGCAATTAACGACACTTTAGATCAAAATATTAGCTATAATTTAGATAATAGTAATGAAGAATTAGCGCGTAACATCAAAACAATTGATAATATTAGTCAGGATAGTACGTCTGAAGGTTCAAACCCCCAAACGAATTCGATTGAACTCACTGATCAAAAATTAATTACTTGTATAAATAATACTGTAGATGTAACTAACGAAAACTCGAAACTTGATAATAATTGCCCACATTTTTCCCAAAATGTGTTTCCAGAAAATTTAAGAGTTTTAAATTTGTACGTTCACTTTGAAGGATCGGTAAAATTAACAACTGAAGAGTATAATCGCATGAAATCATCAATATCTAAATTAAAATTAGACCGCAATGTTTACACATTTCTGTTACGACAAAAATTTAAAGAAATAAATAACTCCTGCATAATGTTAAAAGCTATAATATAAATAAAAGTAAACAAAATGTAGTTATATATGGATATTGTGGTCATACTACCTGCAAAAGATTTAAAATCACTTCGCGTTTAGATAACGATTGTATTACATTAGCAGTTTTTAGCACGAATATTAATTTTAGTCATGAGCATGATCTTACGGGACAGGCTGTTAAAAATATGACAAAGACGCGTAATTTAAATAAAATTACATCTGACTGTGTATATCGTAGAAATAAATTAGATAGTTCGAAAGAACTCTTTATCGATTTAGTTTTATTCCAACGCCGAAATTTTCATTTTGTTCAACAAATTGCACAACCACTTAATGTTTATCTTTATAGTGAAGAACAGGTTAGGATAGTGCAATATTACTTTAAAACAGAAGGATTACCAATTTTATTTTTAGACGCCACAGATATTGTGGTGAAAAAACTTTCGGGTAGTACACGGATACTTTATTACGCGGGTGTTATTCAAACAAAAAACGATTGGGTAGTACCGGCTTTTGAATTAGTTTCATCCGAGGACGATGTTTCAAATTTGACGGTTTGGTTACTTCAAGTTAAGTATTATTATAAGGATAAGTATAGGTGGCCCGCCTTTGCGTCGTGTGTAACCGACTTTAATTTAGAAATAATTAACGCTGTTTGCGAAAGTTGGAATTTATTATCATTAAACGATTATTTGAATAATATGTTTGATATTGCTGCATCTGGTAAACAACCTGGCAGTGATATAGTTATATTAAAGCTTTGTTGTGCTCATTTAATGAAATTAATGACGCGGGACATTAACAAATATTTTAAAGGGGAAGTAAATAAATCCATGAAAGAAATTGTTGGATCATTTTACAATATTAATAGTTTTGAATCACTTGAAGGAAAAATGAAAGATTTCTTAACAATTCTAGCGTGTAAATTAGAGACGGATGTTGTATTAAATAGTCGCTTAAATTTGTTTGCTTCAAAAGAATGTAATTTTGAAATTGACGAAGTCACATTAAATACAGATGTACAATCGTTTTATGAATTAAATAAGTTTTATATACATTACAATGCAATATTTAATAATTTAAAAGTTGCAGAAAAGTCGTCTACTTTGCGGAAAGAAAACCTCAATCCTTATTATAGTTTAGATTTTGCACATCATTTTATTAAACACTACATTCCCTTTGTTCCAATGTGGTGCAGTATATTTTCGCGTAGGGAAAGTAACGCGCCCGTTGAAGTTTGGTTCAATGTTGTTAAAAATAACATACTTGAATCCCGTTTGGATAAATGTTCTAGATTTTTAACGAAAACGCGTGATTATGTTTTAAGTCAATACCGTGAATTAAAGCACACGTAATCTTAAAAGGACGAAGTGTGCTATCAAAAAGAACATTTTCCAAAAACAGAATAAACTTGGAATAAGAGGCAAAAACGCAAATACACCTATTTTAAACATTATCTATTAAAAATATATGAGCAAGTAAAAATAAGGTAGAAGTAACATATAATACCAATGTAGTAAATAAAAAGGGCTTTATCGTTTGTCCTTTTATTACATGTTTTTCGTTTATCTTATTTTTTATAAATACATTCATTAACAACAACAACTTTATTCTACCGCTAACATACTCATACTGTACTTCTTTTTCGCTCTTATCCCTAAACTTCTTCTTTTATCGATCGCCACTATATTTATGACTTCAACATATTCAATAGGTGTCGCTACATTGAGAAAAATAATGTGGGAAAACTACCTAAAATTTAGTCATATTATCTAGAATGTATATAGTCAAAAATTAGCTAACTACTACTACTAGTTATATAAACTAATTCTATTTCGATAATTTAAGATAGATAAATGATCGAAAAATGTATCTTATAAATACCTAATCAAATTAGTTTCATTATATAATATTAATAGATGTTTTTACTATTAATATTATTTTTATTATTAATGGTAGTAGATAGCTTTATTACTTAAATATAGACGTCGTACCAAAATTTTTCACTGTAATATCGACGATTTGTAGTCAAAATATCCCATTGTTGGTAGGTGTTATTACAACATTGTTTTGATGTATTATATAATAATATATTTATATTAACTACTGCAAATAGTTGAATTTAATATTGACGATAGTTCGTTTATCAAAATATTGTAAATCTTTTGATCATTTTTTGTGTTTAAAATGTCTATTAATGTTTATTATTCATATCCGTTTCACTAGATACTTTATCAAGATATATCTATAAAGAAAACAAGTGTACATATATATATATAACAAATATATTTTCAAGTATATTGTAATAATTACACTAAATATCAACAATTATTTTTCTTAAACTATAAAGAATACATATCAAGAACATAAACTATAAAAGAAATTATAATTATAAGAAATTAATTTTAAATATACCTAGCCTAAATGATAGGCGAAACTTTCTTGGCCATCTAGTATTGTTGGTTTGTAAATGTCTTGTCCAGTTTTAATTATAGCAGGAATAAGTATGGCATTCAGATTTATAATTAAGTGGTAAAAACCAAATTTTCTGTTTTTCTTTTCTGTCCGATAGAAAGTGAATGCTTATACTTCTTTCGAAGGGAATAATATTTTTCTATTAGTTTTCCCCGTCTGTAAGGCACATGAAATTAAAAACATAAAAAATCATGTACTGGTAGTTTTAATTTGGAAACGTACCTCCAATTCTAATGGGAATAGATTTTTTTTGCGACATTTTGGCACAATTGGCGATCTACAGATGTGTCACTGGCTAACCAATCCTCCACGATTATCGTGGTAAGGATATTTCGATTTTTCGAACTTAATCCACTAACTTTATATTCTGATAAAGTTAACTGACCACTAACCGATTTTAATAAGAGATTTTCTAACTTCTAAAATAAATACATCTATGATTTAGGAAATAAACCGGAATATAAAACAACTTACAAAGATCGGTTGATTTTCAGGATTACCATTTTCATCTGTATCTATTATATTAGTATTTATCCAATTATTTACTGTTGATGATGATGAATTCGATGCAGTAATTGTACTTGCCAGGGGTGTTGTTAATCCCTATAAAAAGCATTTAAAGAAAATAAACTTATAGATTGTGGCATGATGATGGCACTTATAGATTATAGCTGTCAACTTACGTTGAGTTGTTTCCATACAAAAAGCTTTTTTCTAAATTTAATTCGTAGACCGAATTGTTCTGCAGGAATTAAATGATCAATATCGTTGATGGTCAGTTCTGCAAGAACGTCGATGTCTATTCCTTTGGCTGTAACATAACACATACCATATACAGAGCTGCCTTTAAAACAGTTATACAACTACAAGTAACATGTCTGCCGTCAAAAATTCGGTCCGTCGATAATCCGGATTCAATACCGATGAAAAAAAAAATTTATTTCTCTTTTTCTGATTGTACATACAAAAGACAAAGTACAGTGATTCCCCATTTAACACGGTACTCTTATAACGCGTTTTCATACTATGCAATTTCATGTCTCTGTATAAC